CGAAATTAAGATAATCTGCGAAATTAAGAAATTAAAGAAATTAAGAAATTAAAGGATTTTATGTTATTGTGGTAACAGTATCTTATAAACTCGTCTTCGATCTTTTAGTCCAATTATATTGTTACATTCAGCTCGCGAATTGTAGCCGTAACAAAGGGCGGGATCAGAATGAATAATTTATACGAAGTGGGTTTTTCTTGTGCCAATCTTTCATGGAGATTGTGAAATCAAAGGCAAAAGTAAAATAACGATTTGAAACTTAAAGAACTAAATTTACTAATATAATTAAGAATTTTTACGCAAATAACATATTATATAACTATTCCCAGTGTCATTGCGCCGCTTTGGACAATTTTTTTAAGCAAAAAAGCAATATCTTAGAATTTATGATGATAATTGGTTCGAACAATCTAAATAAAATGTTTAAAATTTAATATTGCAGCCAGATATATACATAGGACATGGGCCAGCCAAAAAATAGCTTAGACACCAAAAATGTACTACACTGACTATTCTAAAGCAATAATAGGGATTCACAACAAAATCTATCAAAACAATAAATTTAATATTAAACTAACAAATAATAATCAATATCAAAAGAATCAAACACGATACATCAACTTTGTTTGGCCAAAGCAGCACTATGTTACCCACAAAAGAAATAAAATTTCGTTATGATACAAAGAAAATACGTGCAAAAACAGACGCAGTTAGATAAGAATAAAATAATTTTATTGTTAAGTTATTCTTCTTAAAATCACGCATTGCCTGTCTCTCTGACCATTAAGAGCTATCCATTATATCCTTTATTCTATAGCTATCTAGGCTATCGTAATTCAATACATAGTTCGCGGTTCTAACGTATAAAATAGGAATTTTTATAAGAATTTTCAAAAAAAGATCATGGTTATGCCTCGAGATAAAGAAATATAATAAAATCAACGTAATGAATTATTATATAAAATCCAAAACGTGAATATTTTAAGAAAGATGGAATCATTTCTATGGATCGTATGATACGAGCTTTTGAATGAAATTTCTAATGATAATCACATCTTTGAAGAATTTTTGTATGAATTTGCGAAGTGAAATAATTTATTACTACAAGTTAATAAGTTCACAACATTTATGATCGTAATAATAATATACTAAACGTTAAAATATTACCGCGCCAATATCGTAAACGAATTATGAAGATGAATTGTTTCTAACAATAATAAAAGAATGTTATAAAATAATAATGAATATAATATTTCGAATGGTTTCCTTTGAAAGATTTATTAATTTGAAAATCTTGTAAAAGTCAATTTATAAAGCAGCCTTGTTAAATGAACCATTGGATTCTTTCTTTCCAAATGAGATTATCAAGAAATGAATTTATACGAGTTGTGACACAATTCAAAGAGTTTAAACAGGAGGTAAAAATGAACATTTTTTTAAATGAAAATTGCAAGTTTTCAAAAAAAGATTCAGACTGCTCTAAGTTCACTAATGTATTGATTATAAAGGAATAACATCTTCGTAATGTGAACTCAAAGAGGAATCGAATACACATGATTGTAGTAAATGTAATAATTGTCAGAGAGATAAATTCCTACTTCAATTAGTGTTTAGTTCACGATACTCATGATTGCAGTAAATGTACTCATTGTAAATATGTTATTCGAATGGATTCCTTTTGAAAGATTTACAATGTTGAATATCTTGCAAATGGAACAATTCATAAAGTGACCTGGTTGGATGGGCCGTTAGATATACATCCCAGGTGGGATCATAAAAAAAAATAAATTTAAACCAAAAGGAAAAATAAAAGTTGTGTTGAATCCATTACACAATTCGAAGCAATTGCTCAAGAGTTTTGTAAAGAAGGTAAAAAATGAACATTTTCTAAAATTGAAGATTATTTTTTTTGTTTTCTGATAAATCAAATTCTCAAAATAGGCTCAGACAACTCTTAAATGCAACAAAGATGATTTTTATGGAATAACTGAAAATCCAGTTACAAATGAATATGCGATGACTAATCATGATTGTAGTAAATGCACTATTTGTCAAAAAAAAAAGCACTGCGATGACTGTTTCAAATATCACAAACGAATTTATAACGATGAATTTTCTAGTGGATATAAAAATATCGACAAACTATTAAAAGAATGCAACAAAATTAATATAAATATAAAATCTATTCGAATGGATTCCTTTTAAAAGACTTACCAGCGTTGATATCTTGCAAAAGAAGGTTTGGGTCAATTTATAAAGCAACCTGGTTGGATAGACCATTAACAGGAAAATGGGATCCTTGAGAAAATAAATTTGAACGACGTGGAAAAAGAAAGGTAGTATTGAAATCATACACAATTCAATGAAAATTACTCCTGAATTTAAAAACGAGGTAAGAAATGAACAAACTCTATCGTGAAAGTTGCTTTATACTTTCTGATACAATAAATTTTTCAAAAATAGGCTCAGACTGAGCTTAAATGCAGTTATATTTTTAATTATTACGGAATAACTAAAAGCCGAGTTACAAATGGATACTCAATAGTGATAGATTATGCAAAAGATGGTACAAATGTATTCGTAAATATATTAATTCCAATTACGAAAAATTAATTTGTGATCAAAAATTAGAATATTTATATCGATATGAGATTATATATCATCTAAACAAAATTCACGAAGAGAAATGTGTACATCGCGTGACCTTCAGTCCGGAAATATATTAATTTTGTCGAGCTTACCTCTAATTGTTGATTTTGGACTTAGCGTTCCAACAAATATAGAAAATTGAAATTTGTGGGGTACTTCCTTAAATGAGTCACGAGTTGCTTAATGGAAAACTAGACACTAACGCTACAGATACTGTATTTATAGCTTTAGAATGGCTGTGTTTGAAAGTATAACAGGTGAACGACCATTGGGTCATGTAATTCTTTGTGAACGCATTACAATACATGCACATACATTTGATCGACAATATGTTGTGTAGTGTAATTAGATCAAATACATACATTTGATCGACAATATGTTAACCTATTTTCGGAGTTCTGTGTAGTGTAATTTGATAAATCACCTAATTTGGACTGTTGGATACATGTATATAAATCAACTTTCGAAGAGTTGATTTTTCATAAAAAACGTCTGCTTATTTTTTTGTTCGTTTTTTATTCGTTATTCCTCAATTTATCCCTTTCATAAATTAACTATACTGTTTAAAATGTTTAATTCCGCATTTCCTGCTAATTACGACTGGTTAGACTATGTTGATTTGTTATTTTCAATTGAATGTCCTTACCCGTTAACTCTTTCTATCGAAGAGTTAACTAATCCAGCTGTAAAAACCCGTGGTGATTCTGAAAAACCATCACGACCTCAAAACAGTTGGATAATTTTTCGAAGAGACTATGAAGCGCGTTTGCGTTTGTTCAATCAACACGCTAAACAAAAAGTCAAAGAAACAGCAAAGGAATGCAGCTTAAAATGGCAAACGTTATCAAGTGAAGACAAGCATTTCTTCAGAATATTAGAGAAGTTGGCTTTTGAGAATCACAAAAGCTTATATCCTAATTATAGGTATAAGCCAAAAAATGTAAAAGGTTCAAACACCAAGAAATGGGTTTTTCGCGAGCAGAAGAAATATACATTTACATCGATACCCATGTCTAATAATTCACCTCCTCAAGGGACTATACAAATCGTTAGGTCACCCTCTTTGAATAATACTACATCAACAATTAAATACAATCATACTGTCATCACCACTTCGACAACCATTGATAATGCTCATCTTTCTATGATCAATACTAATAATGAAGCCGGAAATTCGATCGACGACTCGGTTAATGAATCATTTTCACTTGGAAATGATTATAGTAATAACCCCTATTAGAATCTCAGTCACTTTCACATCCATTTATCCAAGAATATGATTTATTAAATATCGATTTATTATAAGTTAACTCCTTTAATAATTTTTATGACGTATGAATTAAATTAAATAAATAGATATTCATATACATGGATACTAAGCATAAACAAGATTTTTCTCGACAATTGTATTATCGCAATTCTTTCGTTCGTTTATTTGCTTATTCATTTTTTATTCTGTTCTTTTTGTTCAGTCTATTAGTTCGTTGTGTTCATTTTTATTTTTCAATAAAGCTTCGGATATTTCAGAAATATGTGTCAGCAATTCGAAAGGAACAATAACCTTGATTGTTTTGTTCAAAGAATTAATCCTATACATACATACAATCACATTAATAAATTATTTAATTATATCTATTATTTTTCAAATAACTAAAGATTCATTCGAAATTTGCTGCTTTATCTGAATCCTCTTTACAATTTTTATTTTGTTACAAGATTAATAGACAAAGAAAAATACAATTTTTATTCTGCTACAAGATTACTAGACAAAGAAAAATGTCACATTAGCAGTCAAAAGTATCCCTGTTGTCTTGAAATTTTCAGCATAGATAATATAATATAATCTAGATCCTATGAGTTTTTAATACTTTATAATTATTCTAACAAAATTTAAATGAGAGCTGAATTTTAAAATCAATTTTTTACATTAATAAAAAAATATCAATCAAATGCAATAAAAAATAATTTAATACCAACATTTAAAATTTAATTTTCTATAAATTTTAATACAGTAATTTAAAAAGTTTAAACCAAAAAATTTTTAGTATAAAAAGTTATAAGGGGTTGGCTATTTGACCGCTACTGTACATGTATTTGTTCAAAATTTCAATTTTAAATGTTTCCTTTGAAACTTCTTGAATGGTTTCTTCTTCAACTTTTTTGGAAAGGAAGTTCAAAGGCCATAAATTATTCCGGTCAGACCTAACACGGCAGCAATTCCGACTAAGGAATAACCAAAAGCAGTTTTGATATCTTCGCGGTAAAGAACTATAACTTTTTTAGTGATGGGACACTATGTACATGTATATGTATATCAAATGACATTTTAATATGCATGATACCTTTCTAACTTATACATGATACCTTTCTAACTTATGCATGATACCTCTCTAACTTATGCACAATACCTTTCTAACTATGCATGATATCTTTCTAACTTATGCATGATACGTTTCTAACTTATGTAATGCCCATCATTCGCCAAAATCAATAAATGTGGTACATGTATGAGGATTTTTATATTGATATGGTTTGCTTAAATCCTAAACTTAAGTTTTCAAAAAACAAAGAAGTAAGTATACATGCATTTTGTAAATTATGGTTGTGTAAAACATTAGGAGAATGAAAACAATCAAGCACAATAATATATGAATTAAAGGTGAGATCATGCAGCTATTTCTTTGCTTCTTCTTCTTTGTATTTTCATTTCTATAACTGAAATAATGATAAATCATTTTAAACAGTGCGATTCTAGTTCATGAGCATAAGCATAGGAGACTTTAACTATAATACACTAATTAAAATAGTACGCATGCTTTCTGTACAGCATAAAAGCAAAGAAACATTCCTACAAACGCCACTGAAAAAAAATGACGATGTATTTATGATAATATAGATAAATTTTAAATAAACTTTTTTAAATAAATTTTTATTAATCTGTAAGATTTTTATTTTGGTTTATTAAGATCATGGTTAAAAGTGATTTTTTACTATATACTTTGTACCGCATTTCTGCAAATAAAGCAATAAATTAGACGAGTTGGCTTTTCAAAGAACACCTAAAATAGATTGGTTCTTATATCAGAATTCTTCGATTATCGTTTAAAGAACCATATATCCTAATTTCAAAAAGAAATTTTCTACAGTAGAAACCCGTTAATAACGAACTCCTGCTAAATTTCTATAGATTATATGCAATGTTCAGAAATTTCCTGAAGACAAAGAATACTAATCATCGTAGAACCTCTATATAATCTTCTAAATTAAAGTAATTTTCCTCCTAGCATATGTTACGTTCGCTATTAATTATCAATCTTGGATGCTAAGAAAATACGAATTGATCAATTTAGAATGTGACTTGTTAATATTTGCGGCCCGAATCGAATGGTGATAATTTTTTCGAATCGGACCAATGCAAGAGATGGAGACATAGTGCATGTATATCGATATCCCTTGTTCATTACGTTAATCGTTAACATTAGAGTAAGGATATATTTATTTAAAGAATTTGACTTATATTCAAAAAATTAATATTAACATTGTGAGCATACTAATTAAAATAATTAAAGTAATGAAGCAGATGTAATAAAATGAACAAAGTCATTTAAATTACGTTAAATGATGCTATGTTTTCGTATTGCAAATCTACACTATGGAAAGATTTTAGATGTGTCTCGTAAATAAAGCAAATACATCTAAGTGTACTGTATAACATTTATAATTAGGCATAATACATTTAGTGCATCAATTAAATAAACAAGAGTGGTTGGATGTAAGTGAATATCCTTAAATAAATTTAAAATCAGATACCTTTCATGCAATAAGAGCTTCAAATATTTAAGTACATTTTAAAAAAAAGTTCAATTGACCTTAAGTAATTTGCACATAAAAATACCCGTAAAAATGCCAATTATAAAAATAAATTTAACTTGATAAGATAGGCCATAAATATTTCATGACATTTTAAATATAGAAAAGAATTAGAATATGTTTAAGAGTATTACAAAGTTATTTGAAAAAGGAAATTATTAAAAGTATAATTAATAATAAATTATTTACAATAACAGTATAGTATGTATGGGTTATAATTTACATTGTAAAAATGATCTATACGAATTTTTTTACATGATTACAAAATATTAAAAATAAAAGATATGCTTAATTAAAAGAATCAAACTTAAAATTTCAAAAAAACCGGATGAACAAATTTAAAAAATTCAAAAATCGGTAACGGTAACTTTGTGATGTGATATCTCGATATCTAATAGTCTAATTTAGATAAAAATAGATGAAAAATTCCTACTTCCTATTAAAGTTTGTTTGATAGTTTAAATATTTAGCTTTATCTAACAACTTTTTATTTAAAATGAATATGAACTGAATGTTTGAGTGCAATGAAAATATGTATATATAAAAATAGAAGTAGATATTTATGTAAACTATCCGAAATGATCATCAGATTCAAAGTTCAAGATTCTATGCCATTGTTGCGTATTATTTAGTTTATGAGTTCGAACAGTCCAAAACAATGCTAGTATACATTCAGTGGACATCATCTGTTAAATGAAGATGTTGTTGGCGCTTAAAAAACTGTTAGCCAGTTGGGTGCACATGAATTTATTGATGCATCAGCCATTGCAGGTTTTTTGATATTGATAAGCTATTTTACATGCTAATGTACATGTATATTATAGTTATACATGGATAGTACAGATGGCATTTAAATCGCGAAACTTTAATTTATTTTACATTCTGAATTCTGAACAAATAAACGGTACTCTATAATGATACATGTTCAATTATCTAAAAATAAAGGACAAACCACTTTTGAAAAATGAATATTCAAAAACTGTATATATTTATCTATGTGAATGTTCATTTGAAAAATAAAAAACAACGATGTCAGTCAAAAATAAGATTTATATACTTATTTATTCGATTGCAATATTTTATTTATTTAGTGTAGCCAATAGCTAGCTTTTGCATTTCGCTGTAAATTGACATTATTATCTTCTTGATTTTATCTCCTTTTGGCAGTAATTGTACCTTTGTTAAAGTAAATCAAAAGTATATCTGATGTCTTGTATAGTCTTTTGTTCTACTTGTTACTTTTCATTATTATTGCTCTTGCGTTGGTTTGATGTCATTATCATGATTATTATTACTATTCGAAGATTGTATAAACAATTCTCTCATTTCGTTAAAACTGCTCATCAATTAAGAATCTCTGCCTTTATTGTCTGCACAGTCGTTGAATGTATGTTTATTATTTATTTATTTATAGAAACTGGTACTTTTTTCTTGATCAATAAAGACTTGCAATATTCTGTTGTAGCGGTTTTCAGATTTATGTATTTTAATTGCTGGGATCCGAATTCTTTAGAAGACTTTATTGATTTTGAAACTTCAGATTCACTTATTTGACGAGATTCATTAGAATTCTTCTCATCTATAGTCTTATTATTAAAGATAATCATTGGGACAGTTAAACTGTCTTGCAAATGTTTTTTACTATTTGAAACTATAAAGCTCAAAATATTTGGTAAGATATTTAAGGTCCTAGTTAAAGAAAGTTTAATATTTAGCTCAATCAATCAATCTTTCTACATTTTTAAATTGCATCATCATCAAATTAGTCAATATAAATCTATTAGCGTCAGCTTCACCTACACACCACATAATATACAGTTGAGCTTTAAGTTTCAGATTTGGATTGTTTCTCTATTGAATAATCGATGACTCTGATTAATATTTACTTTGATAATATGCTTTAAATTGTTCTTTTTAACTGATGTGCTATCATTATCACCAAATACTAGTTGCGCATATAGTACTCGGAACTACATGAAATTTGATGATATTCAGTTTAAAACATTAGGTAATCGGTTAAACTATGGTTAACGTCATCCCCATTTTAAATAAAAATACTTCACAAAGATCTCATAATTATTATTGCATGACATCATTTTAATAAATAACTATGATGAATGGATTCAAATTCAGCTAGAAAATATGTTATTATTTGAGACAATACAATGACGCACAGGATCTCTCAGCTGCATTATCAAATATTATGTAGTTCAAATTGATGATATCGATTTATCTGGTGGTGGTGACAGCAAGTATTTATGCTTTTAGTTGATCTTGGATATTTGTGGATAAACTTTGAGAGCAAGTCTGAGAACGGGCTTAATCATTTTGTGAGCTGGTTAATGCTATTATTAATAGCATGAGTGAAAACGAAAATGAACGTATATAGGATTATTAAAAAAAAAGATTTAAATGCTAAGAAAAACAAAGTATATAATGAATAATAAAATAATAATGCACCCAAAGAATTCTTAAAAAAATATCAGACTCATGAGAATTGCAAATAACAAAAGTTATAATGACGGAACCTTGAACCTATAGACCATTTAGTATATAAAATTGATAGTGATATCCTTCAATCATGAGTATTAGATCTTATCTTTACAAACAATTATTTATGTGTGCAATTAAGTTGTCAATGTCAATAGTTATAAAAGGAAATGCCTTAGTTGCAATAGATCAAAAATTAGTAAATTTATGAAATGATATCGATATGCAATATCGATAACATTGTCATTAGAAAAAAACAACAAAATAACTTATCATTATTAACAGTTTTTTTCAGTATGTTTTACATAATAATCCATTGATTGAATTTATGAATTTCACTCAATATGAAAAATAAAAATAAGATTAAATGGGCTGAGTGTATGAATAGTAATCATCTCATTGAATGGCAATAACGATAACTAGAATTATTCAACATTTCATGAATTTCAATAATAATGTGGATATTTACAGGTAAATTCAATTTAGACCAACTCATTATAATAAAAAATTTGGAAATGAGAAAATATTTTTTTAGTGATTCTAATCAGTTAAAATTTTTTTGCTCAACCCCTATTTATATTTATTTCTTTATATAAAAATTAATTGTGATTGGTTAATGCTTAATCACATGATTATATTGATCAATTTAAATTATAAGTCAATCTCTCACTGTTTCACAAATTACTTTGTTCTAAATTTCTAATACATTTAACCACTTTGAGAGAATAAAAATCAATTGGCTAACTAGTTATGATTACTAAACATTAGCATTAATAGTTTCATTATAATGTATAAAAAAAGATTAAAAATGCATACAAAGGGTCCATTAATTGGAAGAGTAAAAATTTTTAAGACTATATGTAATAATAATGTTATTAAATAAGTTAAAATTTTTATATTAAGGCCAATATTAAACAAAATTTTATACACATTATTATAGTTCTCTTATTCATAAAAAAGATTTGATTTTAAATTAAGTTTTGACTTGTGTATTTTAATTATAGGTACTACTCTAAGAAGA